CCCCTTAAACACCAACCGCCCTCACCTCCACTCTACCCCTCTCCTCTTGTCTCCCCCCTCTCCCCTCCCCCTTTTTTGTAAATCCCTCCTAAACCATAGTCTACTTCACTGCTTGTAAAAATATATTTGCTATTTTCTGCAGACCTAGGTATGGGTCCCAGGTCTATGTATAGGAAATGTACGTGAACAAACTAAATATTCTGGGATTATACTTAACAAATAGATTTAGAGCATTTTTCAGAAGAACCAATATTTCTGTATTCATTCATTGGAACAGGCAGACAGGATGACAGGATGACAGGTAGACAGGTAGACAGGTAGACAGGTAGACAGGTAGACAGCTGTAGACAGGTAGACAGGTAGACAGGATGAAAGGTAGACAGGTAGACAGGTAGACAGGACAAGTGAACAGGCAGACAGGTAGACAGGAAGACAGGTAGACAGGTAGACAGGATGACAGGATGACAGGTAGACAGGATGACAGGATGACAGGATGACAGGTAGACAGGTAGATAGGTAGACAGGTAGACAGGTAGACAGATAGATAGGTAGACAGGATGACAGGTAGACAGGTAGACAGGTAGACAGGTAGACAGGTAGACAGGTAGACAGGTAGACAGGTAGACAGATAGACAGGTATACAAGTGAACAGGCAGACAGGTAGACAGGAAGACAGGTAGACAGGTAGACAGGATGACAGGATGACAGGTAGACAGGATGACAGGATGACAGGATGACAGGTAGACAGGTAGATAGGTAGACAGGTAGACAGGTAGACAGATAGATAGGTAGACAGGATGACAGGTAGACAGGTAGAAAGGATGAAAGGTAGACAGGTATGACAAGAAAACAGGTAGATAGGTAGACAGGTAGACAGGTATATAGGTAGATAGGTAGACAGGTAGACAGGTAGATAGGTAGATAGGTAGACAGGTAGATAGGTAGATAGGTAGATAGGTAGACAGGTAGACAGGTAGATAGGTAGACAGGTAGACAGGTAGAAAGGTATATAGGAAGATAGAAACGTCTGCAAAGAGAGATGATCGATAAATATAACTATACAGAGTTAGACAATTATGCAAATCTAAAGTTCGGATGAAAAGTAGCATATGCAAAAATGCAAAAATGCAAAAATTCAAAGATGTTCCGAAGCTAGACGATATAATGAGGGACAAGGCTAGTTTTGTTTAAATTGTATCAAGCTTGAGAAAATGAAAAATATCTCTTAAGACAAGTAAATATAATAAAAATGAAGTGTTTTTATATCCGCCGTAAAAGTGCATCTTAGTTGTTTAAGGCTTTGTTTTTATGCCTCAATAAAATAAATAGATTGATTTGTCATATAAAAGACATAAATTTTATCTTTTTCAGCGGAAACTTTAAGCAGGTAAAGTTTTAGGGGCCAGATTTCCGCAAAATTATCTCTTACATTAATTCTTTCCAAGTTGGGCTATTTTTGTCTAATATTTATTTAGCCCTTATGGAGAAAGGGGTTACACTAACTTTTAACTTTTTAAGATCACAGCATTAAAATAATAAACCTAAAACTTCAATAATTAGGGGGTTAAAAACAAATTTCAAAAAGTACGTCGGAAAAATGTTAAAAATACCGTTTTTTAAATTTTGAAAAATGAGACATTTTTCAGGGATTAAAATCAGCTTGTACATTCAATTTAAATTATGTGAAATGTAGAAAGATGCTTCAGTGTTTGAAAAACAAAACTAATGATTTTGCTTATGTTTGGGTACACTGTAACACAATACACTGTTTGGGTACAATACACTGTAACACAATACACTGTTTGGGTACACTATAACACAATACACACCCGTAAAAGACGCAGTTAACCCAGTTTATTCACATTTTATCAATTTCTAACAGACTCGACTTTAATTTCATTAAATTAAACATGGGAGTTTGCTTTAACTAGTTGTGTAGGTGCACATAAACATTTAGAATATTGCTAATTTTTTATCTTTTATTAGTTCCAACTTCCTTTCTCCCTTCTACACCTTCCCCTCTCTCTTTCCCACCTCCAAACTTTTTATGAATTCAATTTACATATTTTCCTGAAATGAATTAAGATGGCATCAAGAATGATATTGCACTTTTGCAAATTAAAGATTTAACAGATTTCAGATGTACATGGAAGCATGGAGTGTAGGGACTAGGCGGTATATATTATGGATTCATGGAAGCATGGAATGTATGGAAGATATACATTATGGACTCTAGGAAGCATGGATATATATTATGGATTAAAGGAAACATGGAGTGTAGGGAGTACATTTATCCAAGTTATAGGTCACGAAGTGGCGCACTGCTAGCAAAATTTTTTTTTGACCTGAAAAACTGAAAAAGGGTCAAAATCAATGACTATAGACTAAAAAAGTAGATTTTTAACATATCACACATAATATAGTTTAATTAGATAAATATTTTGCTTGTTTTGAGTTATGTGTTCTTTCCCTTAAGTGGTATTCAGAAGCTATTTGCATCAAAACAAAACACAAAATGGAGGTATAAGATGTAGATATAAATAAACTATAAATAAATGTACTGTTGCAACTTTTTTAATCACGAATAACTAATTTTTAATCCAGGAAATTAAAGGATTTAAATGCCTGTAAATACCAAGAAAAGCTAAAGTTTGAAAATCTTCAGTTTTCCCAAAACAAAAATTCGAAAAACACTCCACTGCAAGCTTGAAAATGAGTAAAAACAGCTTTTCGTAAACTTTGTCATATTTTATAAATAATTTCAATTTTGTCTCTTTGTTAATTTTTGCTGTACGATGGTTCATTAGAATCGTTAATGTAGTAAAAGGATGGGGAAGGATGAACTTCTCAAAATATAATAAAATAAAATTAAACTTCATCATTTTTCAAGATAGGATAGAAATAAGTTCTTTCAGAAAGCGCTCAATTTTTCTTTAACTTGAAGAACAATAATTCATTATTGTTAACAAAAATTAGATTTTATGCCAATTTTCTCCTCTTTTTCCCCCCTAGATTCCCCCTTGCTACGGGCCTGTAGGTGAGAGTATATATATTGTGGACTCATGGAAGCTATATAATAACGGTATTAGGAACGGGGTAACCAATACAACTTTGAAATCTGGTTAAACGTTAGAAAATCAGGAGGTTTGAAATCTGGTTAAACGTTAGAAAATCAGGAGGTTTGAAATTGTGTTTGCAACTACCTCCCCACTTAAACCCACCTATCTACCTACTTACATACCTCCACATATACCTACATAGTTACAAATCAACCTGCCTACATACCTACCTACCTACCTACCTACCTACCTACCTACCTACCTACCTGCCTA